GTGGTTTCTGCAAAAAGTTTGCTGATGTAGTTGCACCTCTCACCAGTCTCACTGGTGTGTCAAAACCATTAGTGTGGTCATCCACATGCCAGAAACCTTTTCAGTCTGCCAAAGCTCAGAACACCAGTCTTTGCCACTCTTGATTTTATGCGTCCTTTCAAACTACAAGTGGATGCCCGCGCCAGCTGTGCAGGTGAGGTGCTGTTGCAGAAGGATGAGCAGGGTGTTGATCATCCAATCGGTTACTTTTAAAGGAAATTCAACATTCACCAGCAAAATTACAGTACCATAGATAAAGATGGTCTTTCCCTGTTGCTTGCACTACCACATTTTGGCGCTAAAACATATAGGTTGCAGTTCATCGCCTGTCTTTGTCTACACCGATCACAAGCCCTTTGTGTTTTTGACTAGAATACACAATTCCAACTAGAGGCTCATGAGATGGTAACTCCTAGTAAAGGATTTTAATTTGGAGATCCATCACAAAAAAGGAACTGACAATGTGACAGCAGATGTACTGTCAAGTGGTTTTCTCCACTCCTGAGTGCCAAACATCTGTAGGGGAGATGTTTTGTCTTGGGAAGGGCGGTGTTACGGCCCTGGCCAGCTGTATATTTTGTGGTGTTCTATGTCTTTAAGAACACCACAAGCTGGTGGCGGCTGATTGATCCCCTGATCATGTGGCTGTTTTTAAAAGATGCTACACCAGCAGTTGTTGGCGGCAGCGCCTGACAGCAGCAGACCTGACCCTGGCTTCCAAACCTTGTGTTACCCATGTGTGGCTCCTGAGATTTACTGAGTTTTTGTATATAGTGTGTAAATTAGTTCACTTGTAAATGGACAGTGTAGACACAAATAAACCACCGTTCACTTCAAAGATTGGCTTCTAGGTATGATTTGGGGGACTCGGGCAGGGTCACTTCCTTTCTTACCCTTATGTTATGGTCCTGTACCCCTAGACTGAGGCACAGCACACCTACAATGTCTCCAAAAAGTCGATTCTGTCCAGATTGGACAAGCTTAAAAACACACCAAGTCATCCACCTACAATGTGTTTGTTGACATCTTGGATCCCACTAATGGAGGCAGTTTCAGTTTGTTCCACGACTGCATTTCACTCACTGCCTCTGTTTGTATCTCTGTCACTGCAGGACCAACACAGAGCGAGAAGTCAACGCTCTCAGGAGGCCGACAAACCTCACAGAAGAAAGGGAGAGAAAAAATACAGCTGTGATGAGTGTGGGAAGAATTTTACCCATCTTGGAAACTTTAAAGCACACCAACTCGTCCACAGTGGAGATAAACCGTACAGATGTGACTTGTGTGG